CGGAATGTAGCTTAACTTGAGCTTCTCTTACTATCGTTTACCCCAATCTTCTTGCATATACCATCTACACCATCGGATATGTTACCTCATCCAAAGAGGTTTTAAATGATATAGCATAGATGGAGCTTCTTGATATCCATTTAAACTCCTCTCTTTCCTTATAATAACATCCTCCATACTCAAAATGTATGTTTGTGTGGCCGCTCATCCTCTTCTGTTCACAAAACCAAAAAAACTAAGTCATTAACGAATAACAATATTTCCTATTTTCTCACAACTGTACCAATTGTACCAGTTGTCCCACTTATCTCAATCAGTTATCCCAATTGTACCAGTTGTCCCAATACATTCCGGGTCCCAATTGTCCCAATTGTCCCAGTTGTCCCATTCCTTTCAGTTAACCCAATTCAACTCAGTTATCCCATTTGTACCAGTTGTCCCAATACATTCCGGGTCCCAATTGTCCCAATTGTCCCAGTTGTCCCATTCCTTTCAGTTAACCCAATTCAACTCAGTTATCCTAATTGTACCAGTTGTCCAATTCTATTCAGTTAACCCTGTTGTACCAGTTGTCCCATTTCATTTAGTTACCCGAATTGTACAGGTTTTCCCATTACATTCAGTTACCCCAATTGTACCAGTTGTCCCTTTCCATTCAGTTAACCCAATTGTACCAGTTGTCCCTTTCCATTCAGTTAACCTAATTGTACCAGTTGTCCCATATCTCACTGAATGGCAACAAGTTCAATTTTAACACTCAGAAGACTAAATCGACATATATACGCCACTCTACTATCCAATGTGCAACCTAAAACGAACAGAATTGACAAATCGATTACTAAACCCTAATCCCCAAACTGTAGAAGAAGTTACCTTATTACCAAATGACGGCTCTACAACGAGATTTGGCGAACACCATGGGTTCAGAGAAGGCCGGCGCACCGCGCCGAGCGATAATAAACGAAGACGGATCGGAGATTCGATCGGACGATTTCTGGGAAAAGATTTTCGATTTCGGATTTCGGTTTAAGATGTTAACCCAGAAATTCAGAGAAACCAGATTCGGTTTTGGTATTAGAATTTTAGAATTTTCATTTCTCAATTTTTTTTTGATTTTCGATATAAAAAAACAAACAAAAAATCAGCAATGCCATATCCCTTTTTCATTAAGGGTATTTTCGGAATATCATGTGCTTTATGGCACTCAAACTTATTTATGGCAGGGTAGATCAATTTTTTTTCATTTATGGCTTCTCAGCCATTAAACCTTTTGTTTTCGATAAAATGTACAAATTGGAATCAAGCCAGAGACTAAACCGGAAAATTTGGTGGTTCATGGTTCAAACTGATTTAATCGATTGAACCAATATTTCGGTTGCCTTTGATATACTTCACTTTAGTCTCCACTACTGGCGAGGTCGATGAGCTGGCTGAGGAAAAGTTCTTTCCTTGTACCGTCAACTACTGAGGAGCCTTAACTCACCAAAGCTGCAGCTTAGCTACGCTTCAAGACTCGCAAAGAAAGCTGAGGTTAAGACCATCTTCTTGTTTGGCTCCGAGGAGATTTCGAAACACAACGTTGCCGATCTCATCCGGACTGGTAAATATGCTCTTTCTCAGTTGAAACAAGGCAAAATCCCAAACAACACTACTCAGAGTATTAAGAGCCAATGTTTGTTTCCAAGGCACTAAAATTTTCAACACATTCATCACTACATATGTTGGGTGGGAATGGGTGTGATGCTCTTTTCAATTATTGGAACCTTAAATATTGAATCAGCTTTACCGCCAATCATTTTGGTTCAATGAAGGTTTTAACAAATTAGTGATTTCTGAAGCCAGTTAGAAGTAAAGAAGATAGACAAAGAACTCATGTAAATGATAATAGTAGATTGGGTTTCTTTCACAAATACGACGGTTTAACACAAATTTTTATAACTGTAATTCGACAAGAACCTTACTAGATCATATTTTTAAGAATACTACCAAAACTTGGATCAGGACAATAACGTTTACTAGTCAATAAACAGCTCTCATCCTGAGTTGGGCTCTTCTTCTAGCTTCTGAGCTTTATTTCCAATCTGTGGCCGTCTCATAGCTGAATAAGCAGAGAAAGATGAAGAATATGTCACAACTTGAAGGAGACTTTTTGTATGTTTTATAAGAAACGCGTATTCTAAAAAAGAATAAACTCACATTTCAGAGCTGACCCGGCAAGACATGTAAGCCTCGATTTGGTATTTGTCTCGGCTAATGGTTTTGCATTCTCTTTACCCGCCATTCGCATGTCCCAAACACGTATGACACCATCAGAAGATGCAGAAGCAACCAAGTATGGATCTTCTGATGCACCTTCACTATCATTCCTAGTAAGCACGACAACACCTTTGATGCGAGCTGGGTGAGCATCTTGTATGGAATAAGCAAGCTTCCCGCTATTTGTGTCCCAAGCTGTTATGGCCCGATCCTCACCAGCTGTATACAGAGTTCCACTCTGTTTGCAAATTAAGCAAACATTTTAGCCAAGGGAATAAAATATTTCTCTGAATCAAAACCCTCACCGTTTCCAGGGATAGAACGTTAACACAAAATCAATAAGGAGCTGGGACAACTCTATTTAGCTAAAGAAGTCGTTTTTTGAAAGCTTCAGAAAGGTGGGCTCTTCCTATATTTTAAATCACACCTACGTAAACTAAAACAAAAGAGTTCCATTCTGAAGCAAATTGAGCAGAAGACGCAAACATATCAGAGTCTATGACTGAATACTATGACATTCTAAAACTTACCCTCTTTTCATGGCTTCAAGAAGGTGGGCTCTTCTGCAATTCACACTTTGGCAACATAGGAGTAAGCATCAAAAGAGACCAGAAGAGAAAACACAGCTCTAAAGCCATCCTGATGTAGCACTAAAACACACAAACGATGGAGTTTTTCTACCAGGATTCAAAGCTAAAACACACAAATGATGGAGGTTTTTTCTACTAGGATTCAAAGTTACTTACTTTAGACATGTACAAATTCTTAGGGATCCAGGAGGGTAATAGAGAAATTGAGCACAAGTGAACACAAATGAAAAGGACCAGTTTATTTAGAGAGACAAGTAAAAGAGAACCTCACCTCTCCAGGAGAAGCACAGAGTATACGCTTGTGGCTAGTATTGTCGAGCTCGAGAAGAAGCTTAGCATCCTCGGATTGATGAACACCAACTTTACTATTCACCACCATGAAAAACTTGTCCCCACTCGGATCGAATTTCACAAGACTCGCCTCGTGCCCTAACCTGCAACAGAAACTCCTCTTTCCTCTCACAAGATTCAACATCGCAAAGCACTCGTCACGGTACACGGCCAAAGCGAGCTTCCCAGAAGGATGAATCGAAAGATCGTTGACTGCCTTCTTATGAGGACGAAATGATTTGAGGAGAACGAAAGGATCGGTGTCGAAGATAGCGACGGAGCCATCAGCAGCGGCGGAGATGAGGTTACGAGGGAAGGAGAGGGAAGGAGTGAAAAAGGAGAGAGCAGTGATCGAAGCGGTGTGGTTGTGGTCGAGGAGAGAGCCGAGGGAAGAGGCGGAAGGTAGATCGTAGAGATGGATTGTATCGTCGGAGCCTCCGGAAGCAGCGGCGGGACCGGAGCAAGCGACGGTGGTGATTGCGGAGATGTGGGAAGGGTAAGAGAAGAGAGGGGAGAGGGTTAGGGTTTGATTGTCGGCGTCGTGTTTTGTGGGTTTAAGCTTGAAACCCCATATGAATCTCTCGTAAGATCCTGCGATTATGCTCATTGTTCTAATTTCTCTCTGTTTCTCTCTGTTTCTCTGCTCCAAAGTGAAAGTTTGATTGAAAGCTATTATTAGGGTTTTAGGATTTTATCAAAGGTAGTCGGTTTTGTTTTCGATAAAATGTAATCAGATTCAAACCAGAGACTAAACCGACTAGATTTGTGATTCATGGTTCAAATTGTTTGATCGATTGTACCAATATTTTATTTTATTTTTATTATTTTTGTTAATAACCTTATATTCTTCACTTCTAGTTTATTATAAAAAGTATGGTTTATCGTTATTTTATAAAGTTGTATGATTTTACTTATATGATCAATAGTGAGAATTAGAATGCAAAATACAACACTTCTGTCTTAACTGAACAGAATCGTGATTCAAAGTTATTTTTTTATATTTTATAGATGATCTGAATTTTATATAAGATATGTTTTTCAAATTTAGAAAACAGAAATGAATATTTTTTATAAGGAAAACAAAACGAAAAAATGCATATCCGTTGGTGTCATGAAAGAAGCTTTGAATGAATGAATGTTTGTGATAATAAAATTGATGATTTGGAGGAATGTTTGAAAAAAAATAATGCTAAAATGGGATAACATTATTAACTGAGAATTTGTTATTTTTCCCACTAACTTTTTGATGAAAAACGCCAAAACGTCCGCACTATTTGCAAATTGCAACCATAAACACTAAACTTTTCAAAAAGATTAACCATAAATTCCAAACTCTTTTAAAAGGGCTAATAATCCCACTAACAGAAATGAATAATCAAAATAAGCTTTTAAGCAAAAGCAAAAGTAAATCAGAATAAATTTACTAAACAATATGAAAACTCACGTCAACCCAGTTATAACTTATAATTTACAAGTCACGAGTTGGTGATGGTTACAGTATGTCTTGGAAAACTTCCCAAAACTAGAAATAAATAAAAAACAAATAAAAGTAAAAGATTTTAATAATGTTTATAGAAAGAACCGTTCATTAGTCAATTAAAAAATTAATAAAATCACGGTAATGCCGTTCTGAATTTTTTAAAAATTACACAGGGTTTTGAGTTCTACCACTCGAATATCCCTAATCTCCCTCTCTCTTTCATCTCTCTATTTTCATTGAAGCCATGGATCGATGCCAAGAACAAAAACCCTAATTCCTCACTTTGATTCATCTCGATTTTTCATCTTTTATGAAGCCTCCGTGGCTGGTCTCAATTTCTCCGGTATGTTCTGTTCTGTTCTTCGGTTTTTCCTTTTCTTTTTTGTTGCTGGTTCCACACGTGTTCTTCGCAGCTTTATTTTTAGTGGTCTTTTTCTTTTTTGGGTTTATATCTGCAAAATCGCGTTTCTATTAATCGTAGATTTTCCCGGTTTTTGTGGAGCTAACTGTTCTGTCTAAAGCCAGGTTTTTTTCGTTGTTCAACCGTTATTGCAATTTTCAGGATCGATGTCTGAGTAAAAAAAAAAATTCTTCTTTTCTGGGTTAAGATCCTTTCTTAGAGCAAGGTATCAATTTTTTTTATAATTTCGTTGTTTGTTATTCCAAGAATACTTTGTTCCTTTTAAATTCAGAAGAATTCAGAAGAAAGACAAAGGATTGTCTTAGATAATTCACGATATGTGTTTCTTGGTACTGATTCATGTTTCTGGGGAATTTTGTAGCTCAGAGTTACCAGGTGAGGGTTGATCATGGATGTGACCGAGCTCGAGGAGAATCTATTTGCAGCCAGCGACGCCAAGGTTCGGTTACAATTGATTGAATTTGATGCCGTAATTGTTGGAATCTGATGTGATTGCTATTGTTTAGGGGCTAAAAATTGCATCTTTGATTGCAAAGAACGTTTCTATTAGGAGACTAATTAGGTTTCTTAAGAGAATTATTTATCTATGATCTGACTTCAGTATGTTAGAGGATGTTGTGTGGAGATTTATGCTCTTCTCCTTTGATGAATATGATTTGTGTTTGTGTTCTATGCTCTTGCTAAAGCTTTATGTTATGGAAACGCAGCTACATGGAGATATGTGCAAGGAACTATCTGGGGTTCTCTGCAAGGTACTCTCAATCTTCCCGTCATTGGAAGGAGCAAGACCTCGGAGTAAATCAGGGATTCAGGCCTTATGCTCTTTACATATTGCACTTGAGAAGGCAAAGAATATTCTTCAGCACTGTTCTGAGTGTAGCAAACTTTACTTGGTGGGTTTCTTCTTTATTCCTTCTATCTCTCTCTCTCTCTCTTTGGACGAGTTTTACGTTTTCTCTTTTCTGTTTACGGCTCTTTACCTTTTTTGTTAAATTTCCAACCTAAACAGGCCATAACTGGGGATGCTGTTCTTTTAAAATTCGAGAAAGCGAGAACTGCTCTCATCGACAGTCTTAAACGTGTAGAAGACATTGTTCCTAGCTCAATAGGGTCACAGGTAATTTGCACATTGTTTCGTTGTGATGATTAAGACAAGTCTACTTTTTGCTTGATAGACCAAAATAACCTCATTGGATTTAGAGATCTGAGTAGTACAGTTTCTTTCTCTATGAAAATTCCTAGTTCAAATGTCTGATTTTTGATTTTTGATCACTTCAGATTTTGGAAATTGTTGGTGAGCTAGAGAACACCAGGTTCTTGCTTGATCCATCAGAGAAGGAAGTCGGTGATCAGATCATTGCACTGCTCCAACAAGGGAAAAAATTTGACAACTGTAATGACAACACCGAGCTTGAGATTTTCCACCGGGCAGCTACTAGACTCAGTATCACTTCCTCTAGAGTGGCTCTGGCGGAAAGACGGGCTCTAAAGAAACTCATTGACAGGGCACGCACAGAGGAGGACAAGCGTAAGGAATCAATTGTGGCTTACCTTTTGCATCTTATGAGAAAATGCTCCAAGCTTTTCAGAAGCGAGGTTTTGGATGAGAATGACTCTCAGGGCTCAACACCATGTTCTCCCACTGATCAGGGTTTTAATGAAGACCGTAGGAGTGTTCATGGGTTTGGTCGTCAGCTATCTAGGTTTGGTTCTATGAACAGCCCAAAATCAGGACAGATGCCTGTTCCACCGGAAGAACTGAGATGCCCCATATCTTTGCAGCTTATGTGTGATCCTGTCATCATTGCTTCAGGGCAGACTTATGAACGTGTCTGTATTGAGAAATGGTTCAGTGATGGACATAATACTTGCCCAAAGACTCAACAGGAGCTCCCACATCTCTCCTTAACTCCTAATAACTGTGTTAAAGGTCTTATTGCGAGCTGGTGTGAACAAAATGGAACCCAAATCCCAAGTGAACCGCCGGAATCTCTAGACCTGGACTACTGGAGACTAGCTCTCTCTGACTCCGACTCCACCAGGTCAAAGTCTGTAAACAGTATAGGCTCGTGTAAATCGAAAAGCATTAAAATTATTCCTTTGGAAGAGAATGGTACTACCGTTGCAAACACAGAAGAAAGTTTTGTGTCTGATGTTGATGATGAGAAGGATTCTCATGTGAATGTACTTAAAAGGTATCAAGATTTATTGGCTATCTTAAACGAAGAGGACGACTTGGAAAAAAAAGTCAAGGTTGTGGAGAAGATCAGGCTATTGCTGAAAGATGATGAAGAGGCCAGGATCGTCATGGGAGCTAATGGGTTTGTACAAGCTTTGTTGCGGTTCCTAGGATCAGCTGTGGATGAAAATAATGTTGCAGCACAGGAAACTGGAGCTATGGCTCTGTTCAATTTAGCCGTCAACAATAACAGGTAAGTACATCGTGTACATGTCGGTAATAACAATAAAAGATTTTGACTTTCTCATTACTTTATGTGTTCTTTTTCCCATGTTTTTTCAGGAACAAAGAGTTGATGTTAACTTCCGGGGTGATTCCGCTGCTTGAGAAAATGATATCGTCTTCTGAATCTCAGGGTTCAGCAACTGCGCTTTATCTGAACCTTTCCTGTCTTGAAGAAGCCAAGTCCGTGATAGGTTCAAGCCAAGCAGTGCCTTTCCTTGTTCAGATTCTTCAAGGGGAAACTGATAACCAATGCAAGCTTGATGCTCTTCACGCACTCTACAACCTTTCCACATATTCCCCAAATATCTCTGCTCTCCTTTCATCTAACATCATCAAGAGCCTCCAAGGCCTTCTCGCATCAACAGGTGAACATTTGTGGGTAGAGAAGTCATTAGCGGTGTTGCTAAATCTAGCTTCGAGCCAAGAAGGCAAAGATGAGGCGGTATCATCACAGGGCATGATCAGCAGCCTAGCAACAGTGCTAGATATGGGTGACACGTTAGAGCAAGAGCAAGCTGTTTCATGCCTTTTGATTCTCTGCAATGGAAGAGAGTCTTGTATCCAGATGGTGCTACAAGAAGGTGTGATACCATCATTAGTGTCGATCTCAGTGAACGGGACTCCGCGAGGCAGAGAGAAGTCTCAGAAGCTTCTAATGCTGTTTAGGGAACAACGGCAGCAACGGGACCAACCATCTCCAAACAGAGATGAACCTCCACAAAAGGAAGCTCCCAAGAAATCTCTCTCAGCACCAATGTTTGTCCATGGATCAGCTTCAGCTTCAGCTCCGGAATATGAACCAAGAGTCTTGTCGAAATCGATGTCGAGAAGAAAGTCATTGGCAAGGCCGTTCAGTTTCTTCTGGAAGAAAAGCTACTCGGTTCACCACCAGTGAGAAAGAAGAAATGTCACATGTACAACCTTTTGTATGTAAGTAAAAGCTTTGTTTTCTTTTGTTTTTCCTTCTTCTTACAAATTACAAAAGTCATCTCATAGAGAAAGAAGATATGTACAGGGCCACATTGTGAATTACACTCGATTTTGCTGAAATGTATATGAAGTTATTATTAAAATAAAAACAAAACCCCAATTTTAACATAAATTACACAAGCCTCTTCAAATCACTTACTGTCCTTTCTATCATCTTATGTTTCTAAGATTCACTACATTCAACGAATCTTCAAGTTTATGTTTCTTGAAACATGATAGTTACAAAGGAATGTATACAAAAAGTTCAAAAAAGAGGTCCACCAAAACATATCGCTTTGTGTTTTGTGTGGTTAGTGACGTCGTTGTATCGACCTCAGGTCGAGTAGGAATCAGAACGAGAGAAGGTGAGAGAATCGGCGCTTCTGCTACTTCTTTTGATTGGATTCTGGATCCAACCGGACTCAAACAGTTCCAATATCGGATCACCGCGGCTGCTGCTGCTCCGGCCGGTGCTTCCTCCGCCGTCTTCACCGCTGCTTCCTCTCTGTAACGCCTCCTTATACGTCGCTTTTTTCCCCTGATCAGTCTCCAACTTCTCCTTCTCTTCATCTTCTTCTGAGATTGATCCTGATCTGCTAAAGCTTCTATCAACAGTGATCTCCTTCTCCTTGGTCCCCTTGTTCTTGTCTCTCCAACGACCCAACACGTTCACAAGAGAGTCAAGCCAATGAATGGCGTGAATCAGCAACCAGTCAAGCCACGCGGCTCTGTTCATCAACTTGGGAAGTCTCTCAAGAAACCGGTCAAGTTTCTCGGGAAGAGACTCTGCTACGACCAGCAAATCGAAGATCTTGAGGAAAGGGACGGTCGTGGAAGGGAAGTAAGTCTCGATCGCGTCTCGCGACGCGAGGATGTGGTCGTCGGCTAGGGAGAGAATCGCGAGCAAGTGGCGATGGAAAGGAATCGTCATCGAAGCGAAGAAGAAAACAGAGTCGAAGATTTTCTGCACGAGCCAAGAAGCTGCTGGATGATTCTTCTGAGTCCGGTTTCTTGTGTAAACAATGCGAGCTATGGCGAGTATTGTAGCACCACAGGTCTCAAGAGGCCTTTGTCGTGGCCTTCTTCTCGCTGGTTGCTCCTGCCAAATTAAAACCATTATGGCGACAGTATTCGAGAGTAGAATTAGAGAGAATTACATACCATCTTTGAGGAATTCAGATGCTCCAGAGCTCAGGAATTGAGATAGGAGAAGATTTTTCTTCTGCGCCTGTAAATTTTCCCGGAAATTGTTGAGAAAGAATGAGAAAATTTTAGGATTTTTATACGTACTCGCTTTAACGTCAGGGATAAAGCGAGAGGTTAATCTCGATTATAGCTGCGCGCTTTTTGAATTAACGGTTCCGTTTTTTTCTTTTCTATTGCTACCAAAAAAAAAATTAATTGCTACGCTGAAAATCGATTTTTTTTTACATGTTTTTTAATATTTCTGGCCCACTGGCCCATAGCAGTGCTCCAGAGCTCGGGAACTGTTGTTATCTGTTATCTTTCAAGAAGGAAAAAAAAAAATAGAAGGAATCTTTGCAATAAGAAAAGAAAAAGGAATCCGAATCTATGAGACTCAGGGATGATGCAGTTAACAGACTTCTAGTCAACTCTTCTTCTCCATCTACTCATATCTAATCTGGCTTCGCCGCAACGGATTCTTCCGTTTGTTAATCTGTTTCCCGGCGCCGTGATTGTTCCTGCTTTTCGACTTGATTGGATTGGAAGAAGGAGAAAATGAAGTTGTTGCCCCGGGAGATCGAGAAGCTAGGGCTTCATCAAGCAGGCTTCCTTGCGCAGAAGCGTCTTGCTCGTGGTATTAGGCTCAATTACACTGAAGCTGTAGCACTCATTGCCACTCAGGTACTCTATTCTTCGTTTTCATTTGCTTATGCTTTCGATTCGGGTCTCCCTTCGTCATCTCCGGTGACTCGTTGCCTGGAAGAGTCAAAAGATCAGTCAATTGTGTTGAGCAGATTGAATTTCATATGCTTCTACTCATGTATAAGATACCTGCATAGTCTGCAGCTCTTAAGTTTGTGTCTTGTATCGACAAAAAGCTGGATTCTATGTGTTAAGGTTCTCACGGTTGTGTAGATTCTTGAGTTTGTTCGTGATGGTGAGAAAAGCGTGGCTGAGCTGATGGAAATTGGGAGACAACTATTAGGAAGGTGATAGGATTTTAACTATGTCTAGTTGATGAATCACTTGTGTTATTACTTGGGTTTGTTTTGGTAACTTCACTGATATTTGCATTTATCTTGTGTTTAAACAGGAGACAGGTTCTTCCTGCTGTTGTACATCTTCTTTATACGGTTCAGGTGGGCAATTTTCTTATGGATTTTCCAAGTGGTTAATGCTTTTATGTTCCTTGCTTTTGCCTTTTCCTCAAGATTGTGCCAAGCTATTTGTAACTAGTTAAGGTGTTATAGGTCGAAGGCACGTTTCATGATGGTACAAAGTTAATCACCGTTCATGAGCCGATTTCTCGTGAAAATGGGAACCTTGAACTAGCTTTGCATGGATCTTTCCTTCCAGGTTCGATTTTTATCTTTGCATTCTACAGTTAAAACTTTTTCTTGGAACACTTTAGAGTGAATACTTTTGAGCTCATGCGAGATTACATTGCAATGTCCTCACATCACCCATGGATTGTTGTTTATGGATTCAAGTGACATATTTCTCCCCGAGGCAGAGTGTTTTTTAAGCTTTGATGATAGAAGAAACCAACTTAAATTATCTTTCTTTTCATGCCAAATAGAAGTTGGTCGAAGAAGAAATATTGTTTATGTGGAGAGATTATGATAGGATTGTGGCTCGTTTCGCAGTCCCTTCGTTTGAAAAATTTCCAGAAGCTCATGAGGAAGTTTTTCCTGGTGATATAAAATATGGAGATGGGAGTATAATAATAAATCATGGAAGGAAAGCAGTAATACTGAAAGTCGTGAACACTGGAGACAGACCAGTACAGGTGTGTTAGTTTTCATTCATTTCTGGCTTTTTCTGTGTTTCAGCCTACTGTAAGATATCTTTAATTTCAATTCTCACTGGTATTCTAGATGGAGATAGATTCACAAAATCCGTTTATATATCTAATTTCTTGAGGTTCTTTTTCAGGTTGGAAGTCACTACCATTTCATTGAAGTGAATCCATTGTTGGTTTTTGACAGATGTAGAGCTCTTGGTATGCGTCTAAACATACCAGCTGGAACAGCTGTACGATTCGAGGTTGGATTTCTGAATATCTCTTTCTCATGAATCATTTTGTCGTATACCGTATTGATTTGGCCTCAATTAGAAACCTCTTTAGCATTTCATCTATCTAGATGGTGTTTGTACTAGAATTGAAATACGGAGAAACCAAAACTAATATTATAAAACCTGAAAATTCCTTTTCGGAAAAGGTTCAAGTGGCATCATCTTTAGAGATCTCGTTGCTGCTTTCATTGCAGTTAACATGATATCTGTGTTGTACTTCTCGTCTAAAGGATAAACAGCTTTTAGTTCTGTCAGTGAAAATTGTTATGCCTTTTTGGGTAGCCAGGAGAAAGAAAAAGTGTTGTACTTGTGAATATTGGTGGAAATAAAGTGATAAGGGGAGGAAATGGAATTGTTGACGGTCTGGTTGATGACGTCAATTGGTCAGTTTTGATGGAAACCATGGAAAGGAGAGGCTTTAGGCACTTGGAAGATGCCGATGCTAGGTTAAGTCTTAGCTATTTTGCATTTCTTAGTGTTCCTAGATTGGACATGGTTATCCTTCTTGCTAGATTCAACAAAATCAAGTTTTCATTGGTCTCTTTGCAGTGAGGGGATCTCAGGGGAAGATCCTAGATTTACGACTACAATTTCCCGCGAAAAGTATGCTAATATGTATGGTCCTACCACTGGTGACAAGCTTCGGCTAGGTGATACCAACTTATACGCAAGAATCGAAAAAGATTACACTGTGTATGGCGATGAATGTGTATTTGGAGGTGGAAAAGTTATAAGAGAAGGCATGGGCCAAGGAATAGAGCAACCTGAAGCTCTTTCCTTGGATACTGTGATTACCAATTGTGTAATCATTGATTATTCAGGAATATTTAAGGCAGATATTGGCATTAGAAATGGTCATATCGTCGGTCTTGGGAAAGCAGGCAATCCAGATACCATGCATGGTGTGCAGAGCAATATGCTTATTGGGGTAATTCAATTCACTGTATACAACACTGTAAATATCACTTTAGGCTTCTTATCTCCACTTTTTATTTTCTTAGGCTAAGACTGAGGTTATTGCTGGAGAAGAAATGATTGTAACAGCAGGAGCTATAGATTGTCATGTGCATTTCATATGTCCTCAATTGGTATATGAAGCAGTGTCAAGCGGTGAGCAGAGGAGCCTGACTGCATATATTCTCCTTGAACATAACTTTGGAAGACGCATATTTTCTATTATCTAGATAAACTATAGTCATGTTTTAGATACTGGTTTTGATCACTTTCCTCCAATGTATATTTATCTGCAGGCATTACAACTATGGTTGGAGGAGGGACAGGGCCTGCTTACGGTACACGTGCGACTACCTGCACCCCTTCTCCGTCCGATATGAAGTTAATGCTGCAGTCCACGGATAGCATGCCACTAAACTTTGGGTTTACTGGGAAGGTGGGATATGTTTCCTTATGATAATGTTATCATTTTTTCTGCACTTTTTCAGACAGATACAACAATAGCTGACTGGAACTCTTACGGTTAGCAAATGTATCGTTGTTAGGGAAATACATCTAAACCCTTAGAGCTTCGTCACATACTGGAAGCTGGAGCAATGGGATTGAAGCTGCATGAGGACTGGGGAACCACTCCTGCTGCGATTGACAATTGTTTAGCAGTTGCAGAAGAATATGATATCCAAGTCTTCTCTTTTCCCTGACATCCTCTTTAAGAAACAACATCAGCAGTTTCCCAAATGTACTTAATTGTTTGGATTTGACAGGTGAACATTCATACTGACACCTTAAATGAATCGGGTTTTGTGGAGCACACAATCGATGCATTTCGAGGAAGAACAATACACACATACCACAGGTTCATCATGCACCTCTCAGATGCTTGCTTCTTCGCTTTAATTATTGTCAGTGTCTTAAATTCCTTGAGCCAATTCCCTATATGCTATCTAGTTATGAGGTCACTGAATGTATTTGACGTAATATTGAAAGGCTATTTTTGTTTGTTAAATCCTTCTGAACAGCGAAGGTGCTGGTGGTGGACACGCGCCTGATATCATCAGAGTTTGTGGTGTAAAAAATGTACTCCCTTCATCAACCAATCCAACACGGCCATATACGAAAAACACCATAGATGAACATCTTGACATGCTGGTATGAGAATTGAATAGGAGTATACGACCGATGGCTAATTACTTTTCTTTTTGTCTTGTTAAGTTAATAACCTCCTATGCAAACACAAGCAGATGGTGTGCCATCACCTTGACAAGAATATTTCAGAAGATGTAGCTTTTGCTGAATCAAGGATAAGAGCTGAAACAATAGCAGCAGAGGACATATTGCATGATATGGGAGCCATCAGCATTATCTCCTCTGACTCACAAGCAATGGGTCGCATTGGAGAGGTTCATCCCTTTAATCCATAGAGATTTTGTGAAATTAATAGTTGAGATTCTAGGTTCTCACAAGTAGCTATTTCGCTCTTTGCTTCACTTGCAAACTTATTTATAAATTTATTATGAGAGAGTTCTTCACTTCCTGCTTATTTATAGCTAATGATCTTAAAGAGAACAGTACTATGATCGTGTTGTCTCTCTCCTCACTGCATAGATTGCTAACTTTTTGGCTTGTTCTCTCATATGCTCCTACTGTTTGCTTTAAATGATATCCATTTCTTTTTGCAGGTAATAAGCAGAACTTGGCAGACTGCTGACAAGATGAAGGCTCAGAGGGGAGTCATTGATACTAACACAGCTGATGATGATAACTTGAGGATAAAGAGATACATTGCAAAGTACACTATAAACCCAGCTATAGCCAATGGGTTTTCTGACTTAATTGGCTCGGTTGAGGTATGCTAATCTTCAACACACACGTCTTACTATACAGCTTTCTTTTCCTGTTGCAAGTTTTTAGTTCTATAGGCCAATATAGATGCCAAAAACTGTGTGAAACATCTTCTTTGATGCACAGTTATTTCCTGCATTCTGTAATGAGATTCCTTGTGGGTTAGAGTGCTATAGGATTTGGTAATTTTGTAGATTAGGGACAATGTAAAACTCTACCTTAAACCTCAGTGTTTTTGTTTACTCGATTGAAAAATGAACTGCTCTGCAGGAGAAGAAGCTAGCTGATCTCGTTTTATGGAAGCCGGCTTTCTTCGGAGCAAAACCAGAAATGATAATTAAAGGGGGCAATATAGCCTGGGCTAATATGGGAGATGCGAATGCTAGCATACCCACCCCTGAGCCGGTAACCATCCCTGACTACTATTTGCCAGATTACAACACGTATCTAGTGGATTATGAATATAACACTCTTTGATTTTATTATGCACACTAGGTCATATCGAGACCTATGTTTGGAGCATTTGGAAAAGCCGGAAGTGAAAACTCTGTTGCATTTGTCAGCAAGGCAAGGAATCTGGACTCTCACACTATATATATTACCCTTTCTTTCTCCAGTTGATTAGAGCAACACAATTGTAGTTTTCATTGTTCTTATCTAACTCAGGCTGCCTTGAGAAACGGGGTAAAAGAAGTATATGGACTCAAGAAGAAGGTTGTAGCGGTATCCAACGTGAGGGAGCTCACAAAACTCGACATGAAGCTTAACGATGCGCTTCCGAACATCACCGTGGACCCAGAGACGTATGTTGTCACAGCAAACGGCGAGGTACTTACGTGTGAGCCAGCCAATTCAGTGCCTCTCTCCCGGAATTATTTCCTCTTTTAAGGTTACTTGAATGAAACTTCCAGGTATAGCTAAGCTTACGCATAGGTGATGATTAGTAATAAGTAGTATTAGCTTCTCCAGACAATTTTGTTTCTTTTTATTATAAGATGTGAAAGAGATGACTTGTTAGACAAGTCACAAGAGATTCCTCCATAGAACAACAAAGTGGTGTTCTTGTAGGGATAAAAACGTTATTGTCGAACCCTACTTTCGTCTACCTTTCGGTTTCGCAACAGTTTTGCCTCCGCATGCGCTACAAACATATGTAGTATTGTCAACTAGGCCTTGTGAGCTTCCGGTTTGGTCGTTAGGCTTCTTTCCTCCATCTAATAAGAGGAATATTAGCTTGCTTTATCTTATCGGATTGTACAAAGAGAACATAGTAGTTCGTTTCTCGACCGCAAAGCTTGAAGAACCTCGACCAACTTCAATTATATAACCAAAGAATACCCGCCTGTTTTGAGCCCTCATCTTTTGTTTTTGTTTCATACAAAAAAGAAAGATTGTGTGCTTGAATTTTTTTTAAAAGGTTATAAACTAAAAGAAAAACTATCAGATTAACAAAAATAATATCTAGATAAAAGGTGTAGTTAGTTCCAAAAAGGAAAATAGATCAAATTATTGATCGATGTAAAACAAAGATAAAAATATGTAGGATGAGATTATGGATAAAAAAAACTACACAAGCCTAATCAGAAAAGGATTACAGATCTGTAAACATTATTTTTTTTTATTTTTGCAAATAAAACAACGTCGATGCAAAATGTAGTATATGACAAAAAGATAAAACAACGTTACGAAAATGATTTATTCTGCGTGTGACGTGGCACGTGACGTGGAATTTCTATATCAAAGGAAGATGATCTCCGAGATCCAAGAAAGTAACTGTTTATCGCTGAGGGGCATTGTCTTCTCGTCCCTTATCACCTAACTAGGTAATTAGCCCGCGCTTTGCACAGACAAAAATGTTTTATAAGTTAAAACATAAACATTTAAGGCAGATATGTTTCTTAAAATAATAACACAATTACATTATTAACTTTGTTACATGAAAAAAATATTATAACAATGTTAGAAATTTGACAAATCCAAAAAAAAAATGAAAGAATACAACATTGTCCATTATGAATGTACTCTTTTAACTTTCTTTTTTCCTCACTAGAAATCTTTCTCCATCTTTTAGAAGTATGTAAATTTTCTTAATCTTTAACGTATTTGATTTTTTTCTTCTTCTTTATTATTATTATGTTCTCCAACTATTCTTCTTTTTCTTTCTTTTTTGATTCGTCTTTTGTCTTTCTTTTTCAGTTTTTCTTTTTCATCGGTTCTTCAACCTCAACTTCTTCTACTTCACATTCTTCTTTTTATTCTTTATTTTTTGTTTATCACCTCCCTCCTATATTTTTTTTTTGTTTGGTCTCATCCACCTTCTTATTCTACTTATGTTTTTAATTCTCTTTTTCGATGTCATCTTTTTTCATCGTCATAGTCTTCATCTACATCCTCATTTTTATCTTTAAGTTCATTTTTTTCATTGTCTGTTCCTTATTATTTTTATCAATTTCTTGTTCCCTCTCATTCTTTATCATCTTCATAATCTCCGACTTTTTATTCTTCCTTTTGACTTCTTCTTCTTCTTCCGAAGTTTATTTATCTCATCTTCGTCTTCTTCCTCACCATATTCAATTTTATATCAAAATCTTCTATTATGTTTTCCATCACTCTCACTCTCTCTCTCCCCTTCTCTCTTACTATATATCTCTCTTTCTTTCTAATTAAGATCTCTTTTGGATATCGCCCGAGAATCTTCAGCATTTTCTTATTTTTTCACTTTCATGAAAGATATATTTCACAATAGATAGGTTGAGTATTGTTTTTTTTTTTCAACTTCTTCTTCTTCTCTTTTTTGTTCACTTAGTTATCTTCAACATCATTTCTACCACAGTTTCTTTGTACCTTATGTACCTTTCCTCCGGCATCATTTCAAATTGGGTTTGGAACCAGTTATAATATTTTTGAATTCAACATCCATGAATTCAACAGCACAATGGAACCATCAAGTTATCTTCTTCTCGTTTGTTTGAATACTGTCTCTGATTCTTTATTCTTCCTATATGTTTCGATTCATTATTCTTTGTAGAACAAGACTATACAATCACTAAATTAGGTATAAAATTAAAATCACATTTAACTTAAAACTCTCCTTCAGATGGTGAGTATACATGTCTCTCAAACTAAAGGGACAAAAGCTTGCAAAATTAAAGATTAAAAAAAATTGATAGAACAGAGTTATCATACCAAGAAGAAGTTTTGACCCAGCTTATAATAATTATTCTTTGTTTTTTTTTTACCAAAATTATTTTTGTTTGTCGTCTTCAATCACTTATATGATCACACTAAAATTAAATTAAACCTAAACAAAAACAAAGAAGATGAATCAAGCAAATCTCCTCGGAAGACAAAAAAGCCTAAATTTGGGAGCTGTATCTACGACAAAAAAAAGTAAGGTCCCATAATGGGATTTCACTCTCCTGAACCAGGATGACAATAATAAAACAAAAAAAAATTGAAATCTTTATACAGATATTTTTTTACTATTCCATTCATTCTCCGAACAATCCAAAATATTAATAGTAAGTTTGATTAAAAAAAACACAAATAATGAAAACAACGCAAGGTTATCCTCACCTCTTTCCGTAAACACTGCCAGAATATTTCGCGCCCATATTCTTTTCTAGTCGCTGATGTTAAACCGAAATTTAATAAGGATATATCTCAGCATATATAAATACATACAATTATAATTTCTGAAATTAACTATATACTCAAATACCAAAAATAAAGAACTAACGATTCTTTGTAAATCTTCGTCTATGATGACTGATACAAAGAATACGAAGAACACCTTTGTAAATCTCAGCATATAAACTCAAAGAAAACTAAGGGTACAAATCAACATATATAAACGAAAAGAATATAAAGAGCACTTTTGTAAATCTCCTATCTATGATGACCGGCCTACCTTGATTTAAAAATTTTGTTCTCCACACTTTAGACGAAGGAAAATTGCAATATTAAATCTAAAAACTATCAGTATTAAAACTTTCGTACGAAAAAACACTTGAAATTCAAACATAGAAAAAAATATATTTTAAAATGAAAACACATGAATACTCAAAAGTGACCGATTATGTGCGATTAATGACATAGATCTAATTGACTTAGATCTAATTTAACCGATTTGTCCAAGAAAAAACATCACATCGATTAAAAGTATTTATGACTTCTTTACCAAATCCAATCCAAACGATAATATAGATAAAGCAACCTATAATCTTTAGGAAAGAATGAATATTGCAGCTTACAATTCACATCTGTAATGATGTCACATGAATATATCGATAGAAGCAGCCTATCTATTCCTAGGTTGCAGCTTATCATTATAGATGCGAGTTTCTTATGCCAAGGCATCAATATGAAGTATCGAAAGGATTTTTGATTGGATATAACCCGCTTCTGATTCAGTTGCGGTGAATAAAATAATTTTAACTTGCGATTAAATGCAAAAACATGATATTAGGGTTCGCCGAATTATGAAAGTATAATTTAGTAAACTAAATCATGAAACTAATAGATTATAAAGCATAAAAAGCCCAATGTTAAATAAAAATCAGTACAATTATTATATGATATAAAAAAATTTATTTTAAACAAATTAAAAAATATGAATTAATTTTTAAGGAGGGGTAAAGGTAAATATTAATTGATTGCCTACTCTCTCATCCCGAATATACGATCAAGCTTGTCTACTTCACTCGTACTGTCGGCGAGATGGAGAAAACCCTAGCTGACCCTAACTTAGTCCCTAAGCTACTCCACGAATCGTGATTCCTTCGACGCAGCGTGTAGGAAACTTTTGGTATATATTTCGGGTTACTCGTAAACCGCTTCGGCTGCTAACGCCACATTCGCCGGGAAAATCGCAGAATTGTTCTTCGCGGCGGATTCTCCATGAGGTTCCGGTACGCGATGGTCTGTTCGTCGAATCAGAACCGGAGCATGGAGGCTCACGCTCTACTAAAGAGGCAAGGTCTCGACGTTGCTTCGTATGGGACTGGGTCTCATGTAAAACTACCTGGACCGTCTGTCAACGTCTACGATTTTGGAACTCCTTACAAGCAGATGTTCGATAAACTCAGGCGCAAGGATTCCGAACTGTATCCTCTTCTGTGTTTTCCCCACCGCGTTTCTGTGATTGCACTTTGTTTTGTTGCGTACTGATCATCATTTGTTCTTAGCTTTGAAGACCTAATTTTTCTGTTTAGTCGCTGCTTTAGTGTCAATTTTCTTCTAATCCTGTGATATTCGCTGTTTTTCTTACGATTTGTAGGCTGGAACAGCTAATTTGCACTCCAAATTCTGTAATTCAAGTGGGTTTAATCCTCTTTTTAACCTGATTTTTTTCAAGACATTGATTCCGGAGAAACAAATGTTTAGTCCAGCCTTTGATGCCTTGTTTTTTGTGCTTAGAACATTGTCCATTGTGCTGTGAGGAGTCTTGTAAACTTGAAGTTTGATACCTTAACTGTTTCTTCAGTTACAAGCGGAATGGTATTTTGCAGATGCTTAAGAGGAATTTATCTGTGAAACTTGCTCCCCAGAGGCGGCATGATAATGCTGGTGATGGTGTGTTTGATGTTGTAATGAGATTTGAAGAAAAGGTTTTCGATTCAGTTCTTGAAGGTAATCTTAATCCTCCCCATTCTACTATTAATTACTTTGTTTCAAAGTTGCTTGATCCTGACGGCTAACTACGTTGATGTTCATCACAAACTCTTATAATATTGGAAGAAATGGCATCGATATATTTGTTCCTCCACTTATCCCATTTGAAGAAGATCGAAATGTTGTGACTTTTATCTTTTCTGTGCGCGCTGTTTCCCAACAATCTTTTCATTTGGTAAAATATCTCGAACTAGTTATGTTAGATGTATAAATATGACTTGTTGAAGTCGTAAAGCATCGACAAGTCGTGTGAAACTCAGTTATTTTAATGGATAAAATTCCCTTTCTCGTAACTTAATTTGTTTTTATCTTGCTGTATTCGTTAGCTGAAAATCGATTGCAGTCATGGTTTGAGGGATTTTTCTTGCCGTGTGAAAATAATTTGCACGTTGGTGTGTGTCATACTATCTTCATCTCATCGACTTGGATACTATTACCAACCTGCAGATCTTAACAACAGAGAACAGCCACTTATGAAAACCATACTTGTGATGAACTTGGAAGTTAAAGATAACCACGAAGAAGCAGCTATTGGTGGCCGACTTGCCTTGGAACTCTGTCAAGAGGTCAATAATCCTATCAAGAAATCTATCCATTCGATTGTTCACCTTTTTTACTGTCATCGCTCTTGTAGTAGCAGCTTTTGATACAACTATATACTGGGGTGACACTAACATCGACGATTGTTTTGGTTTTAGATTGAAGGGAATGAAGCATGGGAAGATACAATCGATGACATTGTCGCAGGTTTTGAAAAACAACATTGGCGGAAACTTGTCTATAGCATCTCATTTTACTGAAGATACCATCATCAGTTGCAGTAAGCAGTCAACGCGAGCTTTCTTTACCCCTTCTCAGATTATAAAGATTTTCCACTTCATACATCTTTCACATCTTAAATTCTGAAGGTAACATGATTTTTTTCCAGTTTTTTGCATGAAGTGGAAAATCTTTATATGAAAGATGTTGTAGAAACAACATTGGCACAGGACAATTATCGCAGGGCTTGCGATTGTGGACGAGGTGCAGTTTTTTTCTTTGTGGCCAGGTAAAGAAGTGATCTTTGAGTGCTAGATGGTTTGGGAATTCATGACAAGAAATGTATGGTTCTGTTTCTTTGATTCTGTCATTATGTACATAGTATAGGATCCATTTCGTTTGAAAATTTTGAAAGAGAGTAATCACAAGTATTTGAACAGCAGGGGAAAAGTTGCTGAAGGTATTGATGTTGATCGTCATTTTGGAAGACTGGTTGTCATGTTTGGAGTACCTTTTCGATATAAATTAAGTAAGTAAGTTTTATCCCATCATTTCCGAAGTTTTCATCATATGTGATCAGTGGTAAATTTGAAGACTAAACGGGAAAATGTTCAGGATATTACTAGCAAGATTGGAGTATTTGCGTGATACATTGCAGATTAAAAAAGGCGATTTCTTAACTTTTGGTGCCTTGGTATGATTTTTATCCTATAATCTTATTATACTTTGGTGCAAACATTTTACCTATTTGTTACTGTTATTAACATTTTTTTTTTGGCTACAAACAGAGGCTAGCAGCTCAAAGTGTAGGAGGAGTAATCCGGTCAAAGGATGATTATGGGATGAATATACTTGCAGACAAGAGGTATATTATATTTATTCCCGAAAGTCTGAGTCTCCGAGACTGATCATTTGGTTCTTGCTATTTGCTGAATGTTGCTTAGGAATGGGAAGAAATTCTTAAGAGAGAACATAGATAGATATGCTTATGTTGGTCTAATAATAAACTAAACTGCTATTTAGGTTTAAAATTGCAGATAATAGTCGTCATGATAAGTGGTGCAAATTAACCGGTTGGATACTCTAACATCTGCGTAATGCACAATTGAATCTAAGCACTGACATGGCTATCCACATTGCCCGAGAGGTAAACGTAAGTTTCACTACTATTTTGTTTTTTTTTCCTTTTTTAAGCACAATTGATAAAACCATAAACAAAAAGATTACTATGATGAAAACCTAAAGCTATGTTTCCTAGTCCCCGAACTACAAACAAATACCTCTCTAGATGTCCCGGATGCCGAAACGGAAACGAGACTCGGGTTTTCTAGTCCCCGAGCTAGAAACAAATGCCTCGGATCGAGGTAATCTTAATTACCTCTCTAGATGTCCCAGATGCCGAAACGGAAACGAGACTCGGGTTTCCTAGTCCCCGAGCTAGAAACAAATGCCTCGGATCGAGGTAATCTTAATTACCTCTCTAGATGTCCCAGATGCCGAAACGGAAACGAGACTCGGGTTTCCTAGTCCCCGAGCTAGAAACAAATGCCTCGGATCGAGGTAATCTTAATTACCTCTCTAGATGTCCCGGATGCCGAAACGGAAACGAGACTCGGGTTTCCTAGTCCCCGAGCTAGAAACAAATGCCTCGGATCGAGGTAATCTTAATTACCTCTCTAGATGTCCCGGATGCCGAAACGGAAATGAGACTCGGGTTTTCTAGTCCCCGAGCTAGAAACAAATGCCTCGGATCGAGGTAATCTTAATTACCTCTCTAGATGTCCCGGATGCCGAAACGGAAACGAGACTCGGGTTTCCTAGTCCCCGAGCTTGAAACAAATGCCTCGGATTCGAGGTAATCTAATACCTCTCTAGATGTCCCGGATGCCGAAACTGAAATGAGACTCGGGTTTCCTAGTCCCCGAGCTAGAAACAAATGCCTCGGATTGAGGTAATCTTAATTACCTCTCTAGATGTCCCGGATGCCGAAACGGAAACGAGACTCGGGTTTCCTAGTCCCCGAGCTAGAAACAAATGCCTCGGATCGAGGTAATCTTAATTACCTCTCTAGATGTCCCGGATGCCGAAACGGAAACGAGACTCGGGTTTCCTAGTCCCCGAGCTAGAAACAAATGCCTCGGATCGAGGTAATCTTAATTACCTCTCTAGATGTCCCGGATGCCGAAACGGAAACGAGACTCGGGTTTCCTAGTCCTCGAGCTAGAAACAAATGCCTCGGATCGAGGTAATCTTAATTACCTCTTTAGATGTCCCGGATGCCAAAACGGAAACGAGACTCGGGCTTCCTAGTCCCCGAGCTAGAAACAAATGCTTCGGATCGAGGTAATCTTAATTACCTCTCTAGATGTCCCGGATGCCGAAACGGAAACGAGACTCGGGTTTCCTAGTCCCCGAGCTAGAAACAAATGCCTCGGATCGAGGTAATCTTAATTACCTCTCTAGATGTCCCGGATGCCGAAACGGAAACGAGACTCGGGTTTCCTAGTCCCCGAGCTAGAAACAAATGCCTCGGATCGAGGTAATCTTAATTACCTCTCTAGATGTCCCGGATGCCGAAACGGAAACGAGACTCGGGTTTCCCAGTCCCCGAGCTAGAATCAATGAAACAAATGCCTCTGATCGAGGTAATCTTAATTACCACTCTAGATGTCTCGGATGCCGAAACGGAAACGAGACTCGGGTTTCTCAGTCTCCGAGCTAGAAACAAATGCCTCGGATCGAGGTAATCTTAATTACCACTCTAGATGTCCCGGATGCCGAAACGGAAACGAGACTCGGGTTTTCTAGTCCCCGAGCTAGAAACATATGCTTCGGATCGAGGTAATCTTAATTACCTCTCTAGATGTCCCGGATGCCGAAACGGAAACGAGACTCGGGTTTCCTAGTCCCGAGCTAGAAACAAATGCCTCGGATCGAGGTAATCTTAATTACCTCTCTAGATGTCCCGGATGCCGAAACGGAAACGAGACTCGAGTTTCCTAGTCCCCGAGCTAGAAACAAATGCCTCGGATCGAGGTAATCTTAATTACCTCTCTAGATGTCCCGGATGCCGAAACAGAAACGAGACTCGGGTTTCCTAGTCCCCGAGCTAGAAACAAATGCCTCGGATCGAGGTAATCTTAATTACCTCTCTAGATGTCCCGGATGCCAAAACGGAAACGAGACTCGGGTTTCCTAGTCCCCGAGCTAGAAACAAATGCCTCGGATCGAGGTAATCTTAATTACCTCTCTAGATGTCCCGGATGCCGAAACGGAAACGAGACTCGGGTTTCCTAGTCCCCGAGCTAGAAACAAATGCCTCGGATCGAGGTAATCTTAATTACCTCTCTAGATGTCCCGGATGCCGAAACGGAAACGAGACTCGGGTTTCCTAGTCCCCGAGCTAGAAACAAATGCCTCGGATCGAGGTAATCTTAATTACCTCTCTAGATGTCCCGGATGCCGAAACGGAAACGAGACTCGGGTTTCCTAGTCCCCGAGCTAGAAACAAATGCCTCGGATCGAGGTCATCTTAATTACCTCTCTAGATGTCCCGGATGCCGAAACGGAAACGAGACTCGGGTTTCCTAGTCCTCGAGCTAGAAACAAATGCCTCGGATCGAGGTAATCTTAATTACCTCTCTAGATGTCCCAGATGCCGAAACGGAAAAGAGACTTGGGTTTCCCATTCCCCGAGCTAGAAATAAATGCCTCGGATCGAGGTAATCTTAATTACCTCTCTAGATGTCCCGGATGCCGAAACGAAAACGAGACTCGGGTTTCCTATTCCCTGAGCTAGAAACAAATGCCTCGGATCGAGGTAATCTTAATTACCTCTTTAGATGTCCCGGATGCCGAAACGGAAACGAGACTCGGGTTTCCTAGTCCCCGAGCTAGAAACAAATGCCTCGGATCGAGGTAATCTTAATTACCTCTCTAGATGTCCCGGATGCCGAAACGGAAACGAGACTCGGGTTTCCTAGTCCCCGAGCTAGAAACAAATGCCTCGGATCGAGGTAATCTTAATTACCTCTCTAGATGTCCCGGATGCCGAAACGGAAACGAGACTCGGGTTTCCTAGTCCCTGAGCTAGAAACAAATGCCTCGGATCGAGGTAATTAAGATTACCTCTCTAGATGTCCCGGATGCCGAAACGGAAACGAGACTCGGGTTTCCTAGTCCCCGAGCTAGAAACAAAGCCTCAGATCGAGGTAATCTTAATTACCTCTCTAGATGTCCTGGATGCCGAAACTGAAACGAGACTCGGGTTTCCTAGTCCCCGAGCTAGAAACAAATGCCTCGGATCAAGGTAATCTTAATTACCTCTCTAGATGTCCCGAATGCCGAAACGGAAACGAGACTCGGGTTTCCTAGTCCCCGAGCTAGAAACAAATGCCTCGGATAGAGGTAATCTTAATTACCTCTCTAGATGTCCCGGATGCCGAAACAGAAACGAGATTGGGTTTCCTAGTCCCGAGCTAGAAACGAATGCCTCGGATCGAGGTAATCTTAATTACCTCTCTAGATGTCCCAGATGTCGAAACGGAAACGAGACTCGGGTTTCCTAGTCCCCGAGCTAGAAACAAATGCCTCGGATCGAGGTAATCTTAATTACCTCTCTAGATGTCCCGGATGCCGAAACGGAAACGAGACTCGGGTTTTCTAGTTCCCGAGCTAGAAACAAATGCCTCGGATCGAGGTAATCTTAGTTACCTTTCCATATTTCCCGGATGCCGAAATGGAAACGAGACTCGGGTTTCCTAGTCCCCGAGCTAGAAACAAATGACTCGGATCGAGGTAATCTTAATTACTTCTCTAGATGTCCCGGATGCCGAAATAAAAACGAGACTCGGGTTTCCTAGTCCCCGAGCTAGAAACAAATGCCTCTCATCATGTCACGGATGCTTAAATGTAAACGAGACTCGGATGTCCTAGTGGACGAGATAGACGCGTTTGCTACGCATCGAGGTAATCTCAATTGCCTCTCAAGATGTCCCGCATGCCTAAATGTAAACATGACTCGGATGTCCTAGTCCACGAGCTAGACACATATGCTACGGATCGAGGTAATCT